TGTGGTAGTAGCTGGGCACCATCTAGCTCTCTGGTCTCAGGGTTGTGGGGACCGATGTTCACGTGTTCCATTAATCCAGTGGACCAATTGTTTCCGTGCATCTTCTGATTCCATCACTCCCCTTTCCTCCGTTCAGACAAACCAATAGCTGCACCCTTAGAAGGCTGCTCCTGGCCTCGTAAGATCCCAGTTGTTACACACAGGATGTAGAACATTGTCTTTGTGGACGATGTGATGCTAACCGATCATGATGTCCCCCGAGACTATGGGCAGGCTTCATATTTTTAAGACCTGTGATCAATCCTCCCCCTCTGCCCCCAAGTCTGCAGTGTGGGTGGTGAAACCATAGGGAAGGGGTACTCTCCCAGTCTCAACCCCCCTTCAGAGAGGTGGGGACACATCACAATGGTGTTCCCACCCTGAGCCACCCAGCAAGAAGGAGGTGGGGTGCCTGGACTCAGGATGGGAAATCTTCATAATGAGAGATTCGTTGCTTAGAGCCCAGGACCCAAGGCTATCAAGAGACCATTACTGGAACAAAGGGTCACCATGGCACGAAGATCGAGCCATCCCCAGGGTGAGCTATGGGAGGTCCGAGAGAACTAGACTCTGGAGTCTCAGGGGAAGCAGGAGAGAAGACTGTGGGTCCCCTTGCTGAGCGAGGGGCCAACTCCAATCCCCACCCTTCCCTCAAGTTCTCAACACATTCAGAGTCCAGCTGGGGATCTTGTGACTCAACAAGATGGGGTCTATAATGCCGGTGTCATGAGGAAATTGATGGCCAAGTCCAAGGACAACCTGCTCCTCCAGCCTCACCCCCGGCTTCCTCTCCTTCAGTGTGGCCAGAGACTCAGCAGACTGAGGGGGTGGGGTGAGGGGTGTTGTTCTGGCTCCGGCCTGGCCACACTGCTGTGTGCCCCTGAGCAAGGTATCAAAAGTCTCTGACCACAGCTCTTCATCTGGAAGATGACTTAGACTCTAGGGGACAGTTGAGAGGCTGAAGGAGCAGGAGATGCTGGACCAGGAAACCGCAGCTCCTGTGAGATCAAAATGAAGCCTGCAGCCAGCCTTCTCAGTCAGTAGTCCTGGACCAGTAACTTGCTTGACACATGAATGGATAAGCAAACTGTGGTCTCTCCACACCATGGAAGGTGGCTGGAAAATCATGTGGGACCATGTCTGACCTCCCCTGACTTCCCAAGGAGGAAAGAGAATCAAACTCAAAATCAGCCCAAGGCTGATTCCTATGAGATGGAGGTCAGACATGTTTCCACCCGACAACCTTCTTTATTCTGACATCAGCCATCCCTCCTCAAAGCGATCAAAAGTAAAGGTGTCATTTTGATAACCCAAGCCATGGTATTTTCAACTGCCTCATATGCACATGAAAGTTGGACAATGAATAAGGAAGACTGTAGAAGAATTGATGCATTTGAACTATTGTGTTGGCAAAGGATATTGAATACACCATGGACTACCAGAAGAATAAACAAATCTGTCTTGAAAGAAATACAGCTAGAATGCTCCTTAGAAGTGAAATGGTAAGATTTTGTATCACATACATATCGGACATGTTGTCTGGAGGGACCAGTCCCTGGAGAAGGAATCATGCTTGGTAAAGTGGAGGGTCAGTGAGAAAGAGGAAGACCCCCCAAAGAAATGGATGGACACAGTGGCTGAAGCCAGGGGCTTACACATCACTATGACCATGAGGGTGGTATGGGACCAGGAAGTCTTTAGTTCTGCTGTGTGCTGGATCGCTTTGAGTTGGAATCGACTTGATGCTTCCTAATAACAAAAACACAGAGTCATAAGGAATACACAGAGTCATTGTACCAAAAGGAAATGGTTAATGTTCAACCATTTCAAGAGATACCATATGAACAAGAGCCAATGATACT